TCAATAAATGAGGAACTTGTTGTTTTTCGGGACAGGGTTTCTCTGTGTGGCCCTGGCTGTTCTCGAACTCACAGAAATCTGCCTGCCTCTGCCTCCTGAGTGCTGAGATTAAAGGTGCATGCCACCACACCCAGCATTAAATGAGGATTTGTATACTACTTTATAAAGTATATTTTTAGTTAATTTAAAGAAAGTATCAAAGGCAGCATTGGGGAGCTGCTGCATGGCCCCCCTCTCCTGAGTTAAAAATCCCCTGGATCTTTAAAAAGAAAAGCCCAGTTCCACCTGTTGATGTCCAGGCTCTCTGAACCATTTTCCAGATGAATCTAGGCGCAGCCACCATTTAAGACACCGCAATGCTGCCTGCACTTAGGCCCAAGACAGGAAATGAAAGAGTTTTATAGTTCTACTATTTCATATCAATATTCTTTTATGTGATATTATACTTTGGGCTATTGGCATTTAAGCCGATAACTAACTTTAGAGAAATACGATCAAGTTTCTGCTTAATTGTGTCATTTGTGAGATCAATAGAATTTAATCATTTCTGAAAAACACTGCTCTCTCTCGCTCTCTCTCTCTCTCTCTCTCTCTCTCTCTCTCTCTCTCTCTCTACACACACACACACACACACACACACACACACACACACACACACACACACACACACATTTAGTGCTGCCCTCAACCTTGGCCAGAAAAAGCTTCTCTCTGCAGGGGTCAGCAGCTGACGCAGACTCACAGCTGTTCAAGGTGCTGAGTGAGATGAGTGGTTGTTGAGTACCCAGTCATAAATGGGACATCCCCATCAATACCCCCCTCCAGGAGCACCCCGGAAGAGGGGGTGGAAGGAACTTAAGAGCCAGAGGAAGGAGAGAAGTGCTACCAAATACTGACTTCTGGACCTGACATGGATGTTGACCCCGTGAACCCACTGCAGCTCTGGTTACCTTCACCAGACTGGCACCAGGTCAAGCCGACAGGATTAGTCAACATTCCAGCAGGCAATGTTGACTGGACTCAGTGGGTTATTTAAAAAAATAAAAATGTCAAGGACATGAAGGTGGGTGGTGGATGTGTTGGGGATACTTGGGGGAAGTGAGAGAACTTGGGGATGGATATGATCGAGATACATGGTTTACATGTGAGAAATTGACAAAGGATAAATAAAAGATTTTCTATTAAAAAAAAAGTGCTCTAGGGCATCTCTTCCTTGGATCCTCTCTCACTCTTGGGAGTTCTTTCTTACTTTTCCTTAATAAATCTACATTGGCTCTGCTTTAAAAATATGTACATATTTCTGAATATTTTAAAATCATAAACATGCATCAGCTGTAAAGTGGGGAACAAGGAAGCTCTTTTATATAATGGAGGTAACTGTGTAAAACACTAGGCACAGGTCCCAGGATCCCCCAGAAGGTGTGAGATTTGACCCCACACACAAACACCACCTCCAGCACCCCACAGCAGGACTTGCTGGTCTGTAGCTCTCAGATCTGGCATTGCAAAGGATCATGGGAGCTTGGCTCCTTGCTGCCCTGGTTTTGTGGGAGAGCCGGCACTTTACATAAGAAGGCACGGACGGACGGGGTATGTCACTGACCCCCTCTGCCACACCTCCAGTCCTTCGGTGATGCTGCAAATTGTCTGTGCCTACCATTCCCTAACACTGCCTGTTCCTGCTTCCCCCTTCCTTTCCAGGCCAGGGGTCCCCAGCAAGCCTTCCCCCAACCGCCCCTCCTTCACCTGGCAGGTCACTGGTGTCCTTTGCTAAGTGCTGGGTCCTTCTTCTCTGTGTTCTAGCAAATAATATTCCAACTGAACCCCCAGGGGTCAGGGTCCTGCAGTATTTTCACTCCCAGCTCTGCATCCCAGCTCCTGGGTCAGGGCTGGGCACAGAAACGGTACCAGGCTGAAGAAATGGGACATTTGTGCCTCTCTGTGACCATTCTTCCTCTGCTTAATGGAGAGGAGAAACACCTGGGCTCTGTCAGCCTAGCCAGATCTGTGTTCAAATTCAGACACTGTGCTTACTAGCTGTGTGGGCTCAAAAGGTTCCCCACCTCATCCATCAAAGCCCTAATTTCCTCATCCTGATTAGAATCCCAGCCCGTAAGGTTAAAATTAGCCCCTGATTAGTACGTTTAGAGCACTGCATAGTGCCTGGAAACGGCAAACGTTCTATTTAGTTCTAGAGAAAATGTGAACGACATCATCTAAGCCTGGCACTGGAGACGAAAAGGGGCCAGCATTAATTATGCAGGACAACAGACACCAACCAGGGTGGACCGTGAGCCTGTGGCCACGCTGCCTGCCCCCACTCACAGCCAGTTCCCCGAGAGCCAGGACGGGCCATCCTCCCCGTTAGAACCTCCCTGGCACACCTCCCCTGCCCCCTCCCGGCCAAGGCTAGCTGAACCACTCAGGGGCTTCTCCTCCCAGGAAAGGGGACTCAGCTACTGTGGCCTTCTGGGGGAAGGGCAGCAAGTCCCTTTCCTGTGTCCCAGCCAGGCCCCTAAGCCAGATGTCCCTGCATCCCCACAGACCCAGGAGTGAGGCAGGAGGCCTACCGTGAGGGGCTGAGCAGCCAGGGCCAGAAGCCCTGTTTTTTTCTCAGAAGCAGAGCAGTATTTCATATGCTCCATGCTCAGCTGGATCCAGCCTCGATGCCGACCAAAGTCCTGGGAAGGGTTCCTCCCCTCATGTGGACTGACTATTCCCAGAATGACACCAAGGTCACTTGGACAAGGCCTCTGAAGATTACAAAATGACCCTGAATGCTTCCCATAGACAGATGTCTGATAGGGCTAACATCCCACTGAGGCAGCTCTATGACCCTAAATATCGATTACACCTTAAAGAGTGCCTCTAGAAGCCGGGCAGTGGTGGCACACATCTTTAATCCCAGCGCCCAGAGGCAGAGGGAGGCCAATTGTGAGTTTGAGGCCAGCTGGTCTTCAAATGCGTTCCAGGACAGCCAGGGCTACACAGAGGAACCCTGTCTTAAAAACAAAAACAAAAACAAAAAGTGCCTCCAGGCTGCAGTGCACAGAGATGAGGGCCATCCCCTTTGGAAGAGAGGTGTGGGCTAGAGGCCACCTGCCCAGCATTTAGTACTGCCACCAAGAGGAAAACCTAAAAATGTACCAATCTCTTATTACACAGACAGACAGTGTATACATACATATATGTACATATATATATATGTATATAGTGTGTGTGGGTGGTGTGAAGTGAGCATGGGAGAGGGTAAATAGAGGTGTGTGTGTGTGTGTGTGTGTGTGTGTGTGTGTGTGTGTGTGTATGTGTGTGTGTGTGCTTGTGTGTGAACTGAGCATGTGAGAGTGTGAGTGGAGGTGTGTGTAGTGAGCATGTGAGAATAAGTGGAGTTGTATGTGTGTGCATGCACTTGGATGTATTATGTATAATAAAAATGAGAGCCAGGCGGTGGTGGTGCACGCTTTTAATCCCAGCACTTGGGAGGCAGAGCCAGGCAGATCTCTGTGAGTTCGAGGCCAGCCTGGTCTACAAAGCGAGTTCCAGGACAGCCAGGGCTACACAGAGAAACCCTGTCTCGAAAAAAAAAAAAAGAGAGAGTGTGTGGTGGGTATGATTGAGTGAGGGCTGTGTTATGTGTGCATGTGTATGTGATTATGTATGAGTGTTCACAGGATGTATGGCATGAAGGGGTGACCTAGAGAAGCAATATCGTGCCTCAGTGCCGTGATCTATTACCCAAAGTCATCCTAAGCTGTTAACTGCTGCTCACTTTTAAAAAACTACTGACATATTACTTCTTTTGCACACGAACAGATGACATCCCACAGCGCAAACTTCTGACCAACCAGTAGGAAGCATTTTCTTTCAATACAGAAGAAGACAGGAGTCTTTGTTTGTTTGTTTGTTTGTTTGTTTGTTTTTTCAAGACAGGGTTTCTCTGTGTAGCCCCGGCTGTCCTGGAACTCACTCTGTAGACCAGGCTGGCCTCGAACTCACAGAGATCCACCTGCCTCTGCCTCCCGAGGGCTGGGATTAAAGGTGTGCACCACTGCCATTGCCGCCCGGCTGACAGGAGTCTTTAAGAGGCTGACAACCAGTGAACCCGGTGTACCCAGGCCCTCTCTGGGTGGCACCTGGCCTGGTAGGGCCAAGACGTTCGCTTCAAGGAACGGCAGGGCATGGGACCCGCATCTCTTGGGAGACTCGCACCCAGGCTGAGAGACAGCTATCCTATCCTGTGCTCTCAGGGCCTTGGCTCCTCTAGAAACACAGCTTGTCTCACTCGCCAGCACATCAGAGCAAACAAGGAATCTGGTGTCAGAGCAGAGTTTGAACTCTGGCTTTTCAATGAGCTAATCTCAAGACAAGTGATTTGATCTCTATAAATCTCTGTTTTCTCTCTCACAGGAGGCACCAGGGAAGAGAGTGTGTGTGTCTGTGTGTGTGTGTGTCTGTCTGTGTGTGTGTGTGTCTGTGTGTCTGTGTGTGTGTCTATGCTTGTGTCTGTCTGTCTGTCTGTGTCTGTCCACGTGTGTCCATGTGTCCAGACTGCAGACCTATGTACATGTGCATATTCGGTATGGAGGGACATTTGCATCAAGAGCTTTGGGGATCCCCCAGGAAATAAGCATGTAGCTTTGGCCCCTCTCCCCATTATCTGCAATTCCAGAAGCCTGTCCCAGTGGCCTTTGGGTGACTAGAGGGACAGCCAGCCACTAGTTCACAAGGTGACTCTAGGAAATTCAAATTGTATTGAGTTCACTTTCTTCATCTGTCAAAAGGACCAAACCTAATCTTAAAGCCCCCCCGGCCTATGGATATTGTTTGCTACTGCTGTTCAGTCCCCACATTTTCCCCCGAAGGCCTGTTTTCCATCCAGGATCAAGTTTTTCTGAGGAACCATCCCATCCAGGCCAGTTCTAATATAGGCAGCGAGGGCAACATCCACAGGTTTGAGACCCCCTCACCAAGACGTCCACAGAGAACACACTGATCCCGAGTATATGTTTATTGTTGATTCTGTACGCCAAATCTATCACAAGCGGCATCTAGCAAAGGACAGACCCCCAACCCTGCCCACCAGGACTCACATTCTATAAAACACCAGGGGCCTAGAAATCTCTAAACGCAATTCCAAGCATCTGGCACTATTTGCAAAGATCGTCTAATAAAGCAAGCGTGACTGCTCTAGAACGCAGAGCAAAGGCAGTGGGAGGCAAGAACACTCACTCTTTGCTTAGGGGAAGGGCCCTGGGACTGGGTGGTGCTTCACCCAGAAGCTTCCTGCTGCCCTCTCTGTCTGAACCACACTGGTGGCTTCCTTCAGATCATCATCATTCAATGGCCAGATCTGGTTCTGACCATGGGGTCTGGGGCTGAACCTTAGAGTAGCTTGGAGCTAAGTCTAGGATACACACAAGGCCTGCTTCCTGACTCAGGTTATTGGCTTACTTTTCTATGTCTTTCCCAAGGCTGGAAGTGGATTCTGCAGTTCCACCTGGATGCCCATTGAACTGTGTGGCTGCCAGTGAGAAACTCCAAGAACCCAGCTGTATGTGTACAGCCTGTTTCCTTTGGTCTCCTGATGAAAGCCCTAGACAGCCCATGAGGCTTTGTACGGAGTTTGTCTGTTGGGCACTGCGAAGAAAAGGCCCCAACACAAAAGGATACAGGTGGGATAAATTTCACCAGGAGTCAAGAGGGTTCGAAGGAGAATGCACGTTGAGAGCCTTGAAGGGCACCCAGGCCCCAACATCCGTTAGCGCAGTGGCTCTAGCTGGCCCCTATTGGCTTTCTTACAGCCCCGACTTCCCTCCCCTCCCCACAGAAATGCTGGTGACGGTAGTCCAGAAACCAGTGAGCACAGAGGGCAAGTGAGCTGAACTCCGCACCATACCACAGACGTCTAGGGACCACAGAGCTCATTCCAGCCCCAAGAATTGAGCAAGATGCATTATCCTATTGGAAAGGGCCCTCCACCCAGTGTTCCCAGCATCTCCCTCTCTGACCAGAAGATGGAGAAAAACCGAAAGGCCCATCAGTAAGGAGCAGGTCTGATGACTCTATCTGGACACTGTAGCGGGGGGAAAGGAAAAGGCTCCCACGTCACCAGCAGCTGTACTCCTCACTCACTACCTGTGAGCTCCCAGGCAGGCCGTTAGAAGACAGCTAACTGCCTCCAGCCCAGCCTTTGGGCCAGCCAGATATATCACTGTCACGGCCAATGTCAGAAGTGGCCAGTGGTTCCAGGTTAAAACTGGCAGGGGACACTGGATGCTGTGGATTCCACCTCTCTTCACCCCTAGCCCACTCAGGCTGGACATAGCTCACAAGGAGCATCAAATGGTTGTTCTGGAGAACACAGTACTATGCCCAGCTTCCATGTGTCATAAAGCAGGCCCAGCTCCCTCTCTTCACCTCAAGGCCCACCAGCGGGTCACAGTCAGCAGAACCGTGCTCACACTCACTCTGGAGTTGGGGACAGCCTTGGTCCATGTGTACCAGATGCTATAGATACTTTGCAAACACTTTGGGTTGGCCTTGGGGAGATGACAGCTTTTGACTGACATCAGATTCCCTGGGGCAGGGTGTGCAGGTTCTCACACGCATTCCTTCTGGACTATTCTGTTAGGGGAACTGGAGGGGAGGCCTGGATATCCTGGAAGCTCTCTGTTGCCAAGACTCAAAGGGACTTCTCATTTGCCCTGTAAGCACCACTGCAGGTTGGAGATACATTACCAGATCCCTGTGGTCAGCTGACGTCCTCCTCTCTTTGATAGGAAAAACTGACATTCTCTGTTTCACTGTTTGTTTGGTTTTTGAGGGAGGGTCTTTCTACATAGCCCTGGCTGTTCTGGAATTCACTCTGTAGACCAGGCTGGCCTCGAACTCAGAGATCTGCCTGCCTCTGTCTCCCGAGTGTTGGGATTAAAGGTGTGCGCCACTGTGTTCGGTCATTTCGATGCCTTTGCTTCTGCACAGGTGTATCATTTGTCCTGAGAGAGCTTTGCCACCTTGCTCGTAACTGTTTAAAGTGTGGAAATAGACACATGTGTGGCAAGAAACACAGCCAGGGCAGATGCAGTGTGACTGTCACTCAAAGAGAAAACTCTAAACTAAACCATTCAGCTCATAACCAGAACCTAGACAGAAGGTTCTGCAGAGCCAGCCCACACCCTCATGTGACCTCCCAGCATGCCCTGCTATCTGTTGCCTGTGAATACCCTGTAGTCTAGCTACCAGCTGACTCATGTGGATGAAGAATTTGACCACAGTGCAGAAGGATTCCTGGTTTCCATTACACTTGGTTATTCAATTGGAAGATCTCATCTCGGAGCTATTTTTTCTTCCCCCAAATGGAGAACAAAAATTGGAAACAGATATGGGCATATAATACCCATAAAAGGATGAATAGAGGGGCACTGATGAGCAGCACAGGGTTTGTTGGCAGGGAGGATGCATGCTTGCACAGGCTACTGTAGTTCGGATGCTTCTGGTCTGGCCAGCTTGGTTGCCTCTTGTTCTGACTGTACCTCCATCTCTTTCACTCCTGACAGCTGGGCCACGGAGGGGTAGGAAAGATGGTGAGGATCCCTCCCTAGCCTGTGGAAAGCCAGAAAGTCCACAGCAGCTCCAGAAGTCCTTCAGAACAAGCTTGGAGTGGAGACACTGTGATACCATTTCTTGGTATCATGCTGGTCACAAAGATATCTATTCGGATTGTGAGACTTCACGGGATGTACTCTAGCACACTCCCACTTTTCTGTATGTATGTGATCCTTCAGTACAGCCCCGACTTCCCTCCCGAGAAAGGGAAAGTGTAGGGGTGAGGACAAGAACCCCAGGCTTGTGTTCTTCAGCCATTATCAATGAGCTGGTTTTCATGTTTTGAGAATTTAGCAACTGCGTAATTTTATATCACAAAGGGCTAAGATCTTCGAAGGAGAGCTTGCAGCTTTAAACGTTCTTCTCTGAAAGGCTGAACTTGTCAGAGGTACTGATGACAACTTTGCCTGAGAACAGACAGCAGAGGTGTCTTTCTGTCTTGCAGAGTGCCCTCCAAGCCAGCGAAGTGAGCTAAAAGATCCAAACTTTCTCACGGAGAGAACTTAAGTCTGCCTTTGGCAGCAGAAAAACACAGGGAGACCTCTCACTGGAGGGGACAGAGTCAAGCCACGGCGCAAAAAGAGAAGCAAGAGAAAAAAAATCACCTTATATAATACTTTGAGGCACGGGCTGTCCCGGCAGAGAACTATCTCATATTGTGAGCAGGTCTTGTCATCATTAAGTCTGCAGAGGTTGGGAGGGGCTGGGTGCAAGGAAGCTTGTTCTTGGAAGGAGTGAGGATTTGGCGGAGGGTCCCTCTGATGGATGCCGAGGCATTGACCTAGAACGAACGGTCTGGGGTTGTTTGTTTGTTTGTTTGTTTATGACCAATTAGATTTCTCTGGGAGTAGGAGGTCTTGAAATGCCTGTTTCTCTACAAAAGAGTCAGGACAAAACAGGGGCAATTTACCCCTGGGCCGTCAGAGCTTGTCTGTGTGGGCCCAGGTTTGGAAGCTGAATGATGCCGTTCTCTGGTCCTCTGGTTTCACTCTTCCCCAGCCCTGTTAGAGCCTGCTTCCCTAGCACTCATTGGGAGCCTTCATCTGCATCAGGACCGCCTGGCTCCTCCTCTTGCAGCAGCAGCAGCAGATGCAAGCAGCTAGGGAACAGGCCAGAGCAATGACGCCGATCACAATGGCGGCGATGGCCAGCCCCGTCTGGGCGTCGGTCATGCCCCACGTGTTACGGTCATCGGTGGCTTCAATGGTAGTCAGATCGGTGTAGTCTTCTACGGGTGTGATGATCTCTGTGGTAGAGGAAATGGAGGTGCTGTCGGGATAGCTGGATGACCCTGACAGATCAGAGTCTGCAAAACGTGGCACTTCCGGGTAGCTAGAACTAGATACTTCAGGACCCTGGACACTGGGCGCAGGGACATTGATATTGATGATGACAAGAGACTGGCCTCGGACGTTGGCTGGGCTGGAACACACAGGAAGAGTGTGTGTCCCCAGCCTGGCTCTGTTGAGCAGGAGCCAGTTATGAAGTGGGAGGATATCTGAGTCGCATCTCCAGGGGTTGTCATAGAGACGAAGCTCACACAGGTTCACCAAGTGATCAAAGACACCCAAGGGTAAGTTCTCTAGATTGTTGTTCTGGAGCTGGATGGTCGTGAGGCCGTTGACGTTGGCGAAGATGCTGCCGGGGAGCTGTCGGAGGCGGTTGTTTTGGAGGGAGATGTTCTGCAGGTTGGCCAGCGCCCGGAAGACATTTCCATCCAGGTCCTGTAGAGCGTTGGTATGGAGGGACAGCTCTCGCAGATTCGTCAAGCCGTTGAAGGCTCCCGGGGAGATGGAGTTGAGCTGGTTGTGACTAAGAATCAGAACCTGCAACTGGGGCAGGTTGATGAAGGTGTTGTCAGGGAGAGAGGTGATGTGGTTGTTGTAGAGCCAAAGCTCCTGCAGGTTGGGCATAGGCCCGAAGATCCCCGGGGAGAGCTCCTTCAGGGAATTGCCGAAGAGTGTGAGCTTGTTAAGCTGGGGCAGCTGCATGAAGATGCCATGAGGCAGCATCGAGATGCGGTTGTTAGACAGGTACAGTCTCTGGAGGTTGCGGTTGTTGTGGAACAGGCCAGGGGAGAGTGTGTCAATCTGGTTCTCCTAGAGGGCCAGCTCCTGGAGGTTGCCAAGGGCATCAAAAGTGCCCATGGGGATGTCCGTAAGCCTGTTCTCGTATAGCCGGAGCACCTGGAGGTTCCCGAGATGCTGGAAGACCCGAGGTGAGAGATCTCTGAAGCCGTTCTTGGCCAGGTTGAGCTTGGTGAGTCCCACCAGGTGGTCAAAGGTACCTTCGGGGATAGATTCCAGATTGTTGCCATGCAACTGGAGTTCCTTAAGATTACTAAAGTGGTAAAACAGGGCTGGCTGGATCTGAGCCAGTTGGTTATTGGACAGAAGGAGGGATTCCAGATTGTCCAGGCCATGGAAGAGACCAGGAGGCAGTATCCGTATTTTGTTGTTGGCAAGGCTGAGGTATCGCAGCGAGCCCAGGTTGCGGAAGGCGCCTGGCATGATGTTGGACAGTTCGTTCTTCTCCATCCTCAGGGCGATGAGGGCTGAGATGTTGATGAACGGGGACTCCGGGATTTCGGTGATGTGCGTGTTGAGGATCTGCAGGCTCATAGCGTTCCAGGGCAGAGGGGTCGGCACTGCTACAATTCGAGCCCCTGTGCACTCAACCTGGGAGGCCCGGGAACAGGTACACTCGCTAGGGCAGCCATAGTAGGCCCAGCCCGCAGCCCAGGCCTGGCAGCCCACCAGCAGAAGGAGATAATGTTTCAGTGGCATGGCCTGTGGTTGGGAGAGAGAAGCTGTGTGAGTCACGGTCACCTCACTGACCACCATCCTTCAGTTTCGATAGCGGTTTCCAGCCCACCTAAGTCAAAGCTTTCTCTGCTTCGGCCAGAGAGGCCCCTGGCTTTCCTACATCTGCACCCTTGCCCGAGCAATCGCCTCACCTGAAAGCTCCTCATGTTCACCCAAGTCTTCCCCAAGGGTCAAGTTCAAGGGCAGCCATCCTTAAGAAGTTTTCTAGATCTGATCAGTGGGTATTAGTCACCCCCTTGGCGCGGGTAATAACCCCACTGACCTCTGCTGCTGCTGCCGTGGCACAGACAGCTAAGCTTAGGTGGGAATTCATCTGTCTCTTTCCCTAGTTAACAAGCTTTTTAAGGGTGCTCTCCTATAATCCTACAGGTTGCTAAGATAGAAACTGTATCTTTAAATATATATTATATTTTTAATCAAGTCTGTGAGAAATTCACGCATCTGTATTTCAATCATATTCACTCTCCACCCCCTCCACTCCTCCTCCAAATTCCTCCTGGATCCACGCCCACCTTTCCACCCACCTTTCCACCCACCTCATCCCCATTCATGCCCCATTCATGTCCTTTTTTTTTTTTTTTCTCTGTTCAGAACCACTGAGTGCGATTTGTGCTGCCCAGGTGCACATGGGCATGGGGCCATCCACAGGAGCCTAGCCTCCCTTCCCTACCAGGGCCCGCACCCTCAAATAGAACTGACCGTCTCTCCCTTAGCAGCCATGAGCTTTCAACAGCCCCTCAACCAGGGGTGGGCGCTCATAGCCTCCCCCCCACCCCACCCCCACCTCCCACCCGCCCCCCTTGCTGGAACGTTGACTGGCTTGACTTTGTGCAGGTCTTAGGCAGGCAGCCAGCCGCAGCTGTGGTGAGTCTGTGACAGGTCCTTCCCTACCTAGGGCTCTCACAGCCTCCCTGTACCCTCTTCAGTGATACTCCCCAAAGAACTCTGCCATATAACCTCTGCCGCTCCCAGGACATGAACAAGACAGAGCACAGCCTTGTTGGAAGGACCGGAAAGGGAAGGAATATCAGTCAGTATAGCAATAGGGTCTGAGCCTGGGGGATGTTTGGGCCACAGGGAAGGGCAGCGAGGGCCAGCAGAGGGAGGTAACACTAACTGCAAGGAGCTCTTCCTGCCCTCCCTCCTGCCCCCGCCCTACCAGCCCATCGCCGCCACCATCACCACCCTGGCCCTTCCTCAGCCTGGCCATATGTGCTTCATTTAGATTTAATCCAAGCCACCTTCTGATAAGAAGCCGCCGTCTGTACCACAGGCTGCCTGTCTGGAAGAAGTAACTGGGCCTCAGCTGCTGCCTAGGGTGTGGCTTCTGGTGTGAGTCTTGGTTCCCACAGAGAAACACTGGGTGGCCTGGAGTGAGTCCCTGAAATCAGAGACACACGTAAAGCTGAAGGGTACGGGTGGGTCCAGATGTCTCCTCGGGCACGGGCTTGGGGTGTGAAGTCACCTACGGCAATGCTAGACACAGAGCCATGGACCCAGTTCCCTATGTGGATATTTAAGGTACTGTTTGGCCTCGAATGAGAGTTCTCAGGCCTCAGACTTCAGCTTCGTCATCTGCTAAGTGGGGGAGATGACCTCTGTTTTCTCTTGGGGCTGTTGTGCAGGTTAGATGGGAGAGCAGACTCAAAGGCACCCTATGTGCCCAGCTTACCCATAGCATATACTCATGGGCCCCCAAAAGGCAGGAAGCCCTCAGAGTGTCTCTAGTCTGGCATTCTTGGCCAAGGGACTAAGGATTTTTGTGTGTAGACTTGAGTGGCAGGATCTCTGTCCGCAGTTCAAAGGAGCCTATAACTCCTGAGGCCTAAGGAGTTGCTACCTTTCATGATTTTATGGGGAGGCAGGAAGCCGGGAAACTGAGGCTCCAGTCTTAAGGCTCCAGTCTCCAGGCCTCCAGGTGAGGATTCTGAGTGGCACGCAGTGCCTCTCCTAAGGGGCACAGCTGATGAGCACAGGCAGGGATGACAGTGGGCACTCAAGGCACACACTGGGCGAGGGGGGAGGGCACTCTGCAGCTTCTCTGGGTGCTCTGAGATGATGGGGTCCTGAGCCCAGCTCCCCACCCCGACCTGGGCTTCCTATACCTGTCCTTTGTCCCCCAACAAAAAAAAAAAAAGCCGCTGAGAAACAACCTACTTATCTCCCACCCACACGGACCTCAACTTTTCATTTATTCACAGCCCTTTCTAGCTCTGGCCTGCTGCACTTTCACGAAGGGCTTGCCTAAGTATATATAACTGTGGGGGAAGGAAAAAGAACAGCATGGCCACTCAAGTCGCTGCAGACCACATGTAAACAGCGCGTCAGGTCCAGAAAGACGAAGAGGAAACGCTTAAACAGAGGACAGGCAGAGCCAGGCACAGTGGCTCACGCCTGTGATGCTACCATTAAGGAGTCTGAGGCAAGGAGATCTCTGCAACTCCGAGGCTAGCCTGGGCTATAGAGGGAGACCTTGTCAAAAAGAAACAAGAAAGGCCGGGCGGTGGTGGTGCACACCTTTAATCCCAGCACTCGGGAGGTAGAGCCAGGAAGATCTCTGTGAGTTCGAGGCCAGCCTGGGCTACCAAGTGAGTTCCAGGAGAGGCACAAAGCTTCACAGAGAAACCCTGAAACGAAAAACCAAAAAAAAAAAAAAAGAAAAGAAAAGAAAAGAAACAAGAAAAATTAAAAAAAGTCTGGGTACAGAGAGTTCTGTCAGCTCCATGCTGGGTGGGTGGAGACAGGTGCATCCTGGGAGCTCGCCAGCTGGACAGCCAACCTGGCAGAACGGTGGAGCTCCAGGGTCAGTGAAAGACTTTATCTCAAAAATGAAGGTGGCGTGCTGTCGAGGTAGACACGTGCCGTTGACCTCTGGCCCCCACGTGTGCTCCCAAAGGCACAAGTTTGGCTCCGTACCGGCAATAACAAGGAAACGATGCTGCTACAAAAGCTCACGTGATCTTAGACAGTCTCAAGAGAAATATGGAGTGTGGCAGGCAGGGAGGAGGTGACGGCCTTAACTCTACACACCCCTCCCGCTCACCCCCCTGAGCAGGCCCTTCTTACTGCACCGTGCTCAGTTCCACTCTGAACTCCAAGGCCAATGACAAACTGGTTTCTTTTTCCTTTTTTTTTTTTTTTGGTTTTTTGAGACAGGGTTTCTCTGTGTAGTTTTGGTGCCTGTTCGGAATCTCGCGTTGTAGCCCAGGCTGGCCTCGAACTCACAGAGATCCGCCTGGCTCTGCCTCCTGAGTGCTGGGATTAAAAGCGTGAGCCACCACCGCTCGGTGACAAACTGGTTTCTTAAGGAACTCCTAGAGCAGTGATTTTCAACCTTCCTAATGCTGTGACCCTTTAATACAGTTCCCCATGTTGTGGGGACCGCCCCCTCCAACCATAAGATTATTTTCATTGTTACGTCACACCTGTAATTTCGCTCCTGTAAGGCTAATATCTGACATTCAGGGTGTGACCCCTGTGAAAGGGTTGTCTGACCCCCACAAAGGGGTCACAGGCCACAGGTTGAGGACCAATGGCCTAGAGCCTGGTGAGAGGCCATAGAAACTAGACCGTCTGAGCATCCATTGAAGGAGCCACAGATTAGCCAGAAGCAGACAGAGAATCCTCGAGCCTTTCCTGCGTGTGAAAAAACTGCCATGGGATAAAAGAGGCAATGCAACTCCAGACACCAACACTAGTGTGCCAGGGGCGTGGCACAGCAGAGTTCAGCTCACACTTGGTGTGCACAGTCTCACAGAGGCAGCACGCTCCATGCTCAAGCCTAGCTGAGCACTTTTAGACTGAGGTGGAGAGCAGACTCCTGCCCTGAGCAAAGCGGTCCAGTGGAGAGGACAGCGGATGTCCAGCCCATGGCTAAGATTTCAGGTTCGAGGGCTGAGTCCCCGAGAGTGGAAATGAGAACCACCCATCTCCCAAGAGGCTGGGCCATCAGGGTTTGTGTCTGTCCGTCCCCTTGGTGAGACTCACCCCTGGCTGAGGCTCAACTGCTCCTGGTGCTGTCTGAACTACTTATTTTTCATAAATATCCTTTTGCCCAGCTCCAAGGATGATGCCGTGGCCCAAGTAATGGAGGGCGATTACGTGCCCATCACTTAGAAGGTCTGCCTGTTACCTTTTCCTGTAGGAAGCAGCTTCCTTGAGGACCATCTTTCCAGCTAGGCAGAGGGCGAGGGGGGGGAGGGGCGGATCAGGCCAGCCCAGTGGAGACTCTGAGCTCCTGGGGAGACACTTTGTAGCCTGGGAGGAAAACCAGAGGTAATTCCCTGTGGGAACAGACACTGTTGTCTAAAATGGACCACACTCAGCACAACAAATATTGCCAAGAATTCCCCCAATGTCTTTTTATAAATCCTCCTTGTCTGCTGAGCCCACCCAGGCCTGCAGGCAGCTGTTTCCAGTTTTCCAGCGGTTGTTACAGCTGGTGCCCCCTCCCCCACCTGCCTGCCCCTGACCACCTGCAGAGAACACCGCAAAGTCCCACAAAGAGGGAGCACTCAAAGCCGGCCTGGGACTAGGCCTTGAACTCTTGGCAGTACTGCAGGCCCTGGCCCTCGGCCTCAAGGAGCCAGCATCTGTGGGCCTAATAGCCCACGCTGCCCAGTGCTGCTTGGCAGCCGTGACAATGGCAGTTAAAGGCCCTCAAAGCTGCCCTAATTACAGCTTCCTCCTCCAGGCATCGAGCACGTCCTCAATCATGTCAGCCAGTCCCTGGGGAGGGGGTACACCTGGCGTCAGTCAGATCCGCATAGTCAGAGAACCGGGCAGACAGACAGACAGAAGGACAGGTGGCTCACCTGGACATGGACGCGGGCCCTCCCCAGGAGTGGAAACGATTGAACAGGGTGCTGGCTGTGGGTCTCTTTGCAGAAACACCCTGTGACTCACGAGCGAACACATAATTAGCCTTGAAGCCCTGGGCTTTGCTGGTTGGGAGCTGGGCTTTC